GCATGGGAAACCGTGATAGTCTCAGGCTCGCACCACGGGTGTAGCAGCACAAGGATATGGCCATACTGTCACGTGATCTGATTATGGGAATGGCGAGCACGTGTTTTTTATCGACCGGACTATAGGTTCTCCGGCACCTGCGCGTGCGATTCATGCAGGCTTACGCGAGCCTCTAGTTGCGGCAAGTAGAGCCTCACCACCATGTCGGGCCGTCGGCACACCGAGGCCAAGGAGATGATGAGGATTCAGGGCTGTTACATGTACATGATAAACAATTCAGGCAAAATAGGCGCCTTTCTTGGCTTCAAAACACTAACCATTGTTGTGACTCAATGCAATGAAGATGTGGATCCTGCCAACGCTTTTCTCCAGTGCTACCGTTGGTTTTATCCCCTTTCTCGCTCATTTGCCCCTATCTACGTGTGGGGTCCGGATAAAATTATATTCCCAGAGCCATTTTCTCCCTTGGAAGAACCAAGTTACATTATAATCAGGCTTCCGTACGCTATTTCGGAATTTCAAAAGGCCACGCTCTGGAACCTCATGGATATGTTTGCGCATGTTAGAGGCCGATTCCAGAAAATAACTCCTGAAGAAAGAGAGGCTTTGGAGAGACGTTACTTTTTGACTGAAATGTTCCCTTTCGATATCAGAGACTTGAATCTTGAACCTCCGAATAAGAATGCACCTGATATCAAGGTTTTAGAGCCTTTAACTTTTCCACAGCTCTCTTATAAGGGAAAGCCCTACGTGGAACGACCAATCAAGCTGTCAGTGGCACTTGTTGAGAAGCAGAAATGTTGTCTGCCAAAAGGCCGCAGGTCTGAAGTGACGCCAAAAGTGTGTTGCTATCTTCCGGCCAGATGTGACAAAACACGTCCCTCAATTATTCCACCGTCGCATGTGCGGGAGATGCCAAAAACATCAGCTCCACGGGAGAAGGAAGAGATAACCGCTGGAGGGGTACCACACAACTGGGTTTCCCTCCCGGACAACTTTGGAAATATTCTTCGACAATACCTTCTGGGACCACGGGACCCTCAACACATAAAGATTACAACAATCCCAATGGCGGTGAGCATCAGCGAGGTGGTGCATGCTGCCGTGAAGCAAGTCTACCGAAAACAGGTTGCGCTTCGTGCTGCCAAGGAGCTGAAGGGCGTCCCACCCAGCTTTGAGGGCAGAAGGGAACGCCTTCTTCACGGCTTTGGAGAACCACCGAAACTTAATGCGTTTGGTCCAGCCCTGTCATCGCCCTATCCCAGGATTGTAAAATATGAAAACGCACCTAGACGAATTGATTCGCCCTATGCGGAGGCTCTGACATTGCAAAACCTAGAGATCGCTGCGGCCTTCTTTGATCACGCTCTTGAAACCTGTAATTTGTTGCTGCTGAGCTGCGAGCCGGATTCACCCGAGGTTAATAAAATGAATAAGGATGACCTCACTCTAGCCTTGACACCTCGTCCAATCCACGTGCGCTACAAACCACAATCTACAGCTCTGTGTGTTGAAACCTCTGACACACTCTTTGCCACACTGATGACTCTCACGCAATGCATTGAGAACGAAATAATTTACAAACCAACCACCAACTACTTTGAACGTGTTAATGAGGACTGCGAGCACCATTATCCGAAACTGCGTCCAAGGAATCCCTATCTGGATCCGGCGTTTGTCTACTCACGCTATATACCCAAGTACCGCATTCCAGTTAAGGGGCGGTAGAAAACGGAGGATATTTATCCGTCTTAATTTCGAAAGATACTTCCGCTGCTTTCAATCAGAGACAAATGCTTTGTCATCTACGTGGCCGACAAGCAAATACATGTATAAACTTGACAGTGAATATTTTATTGATTATCAAATGGGGAAGGTAGCTGTTTTGACTATACTATATAGCTGGAGAGGTGAACAGTTGGCTGAAAGAATAGCACGTAGGGCTGCTTTCAGATGGCAAAATTTCTCCGTATGGTTTGCACAGACCAGGAGTCAGTGGCAAATGAATAACGATCTTTCCATTTCCAAACACTTACGTGGCCAATTGCGCAAGAGTCGGCGGCCTAGGTGATATTTGAACCTATGACAGGAAGGCAAAGACTTCATTACAGCCAACCTTCTAACCATCTTAACTATAAAACTCCACATGGAGACCCAAGTTTAATCACACCTGGGTGTCATTATGCACCCAACCTACCGCAACGCATTGAATCCACTAGTTCTGATACGGTAAGCTGACTACCCAAGCAGGGTTTCCTAATAAATCAATTTATAATCCTAGAAGAAGTCGTTGCAATCACTGGAATTGTAATTTTATTCTTCTGAGCTTTCGGGTTCTTGTGGGAGTCCATTGTCAGAGATAAACCGTCAACGGAAGGCGAGCAACAGTTATATGAGGCAGAAACCAATCAACTATTATAGGGAAAAGGGGGTGAAAAGGAGAGGGGCGAAGGGGGAGGAGTGGGGGAGAGGCGGAGGAGGGGGGAGGGAGA